AGCAAAGCCGTGAATAAAGGCTGCATGTTCTCAAGTCTGTACTGAATCTCTTAAATAATTGTCCATCCTGTAACAACAGTACTTGGCATTCAGTAGCATCTTTAGTTTGAAACTCTTGGAGATTAACAATTATTATTGAAATAATTCTCACCGACTACTGAGAAGTAAAAAGGCTTTTAAAAGTCTACACTTCACGACAGAGCAAAGCCGTGAATAAAGGCTGCATGTTCTCAAGTCTGTACTGAATCTCTTAAATAATTGTCCATCCTTGCCTTCCTCTCTTTTGAAGTCACGGAGAGACAAGAACAAGTGAAATTTACAGGAAACCACCGAGAATTTTATCCCAGATGTCACATCAGGCTGTCAGAAGTGAGCAGGCATGTGGGTTGCTACTCAGTTTAAGATAAAGAAGGTATATAATCGTGCTCAGACATCTCTTCCACATGAAATCTATTACATTATATTATATTGCAGTCTTGTATGAGCAACACTGTCTTAGTGTTTTCAGCCTGATGTTCTTCCAAAAAAACAGTTCTTGCTTCTTAGTTTCATGTCCTACAACCTGACAATGCATTTGGCTCACCCACTTCTCTCCCCCTACTCAATTCTGTCACCTATTCATTTCCTGACCAAGATTCTCACTCTCCAAATCAAGTACTTTTTACTTTCTACACAGCTGAGTACTCCACTCCTGGCACTTCTTACTTCCTCCTCCTGCACCACCCACTTGTGGTGGTGTGCAGATTGCCCATGTGAACTCAACTTCACAGAACCTGATGTACACCTATGAAAAATTTGTAGCTCCATTCCTTGGGAAAAACTTGAGGGTGGTTTTCTTAGCCAAGAAGGGTATTCATAATACTACTTTTATGCTTCTTAATGTTAGCTGAAAGCATGAAACACTAGAACTGACACAGAATCCATGCTAATTCCCTATCATGCACATCTCTTCTCATTATGCTTTATCATTAGTTAATGAAAGAAACAACAGACAAGTTGCCTCTCTTTTTCTGCTCCCAATCTGTGTCTATCTCATCTAATCAGCACTTTATGCTAGTGGCTGCCTTTTATTACATGCTTAATACAGTACATAGCACTGAGACCTAGATTGCTATTGCATCCCTATATCCAATTAACTATTATTGGTCCTTTTTTTCAAGTGCCATGTATTTCACCCCTAGATTCACCTACTGCAATACCTTTTTTACAGTCTTCCAGTTACTCTATAAACTAAAGTTTGGTGAAGGTTGCTGCAGACAGATGACTCGATCCTTCCATCACTGTTAAAGCCTTTATAGTAACAAAATGATGATGCCCACCTCAGGAAATACTGCCTTCAGGAGACTGCTTTGACAATTCAAATACAGCAATTATAAAAAGCTAAGTAGGCATTTTCCATCACAGACCTTTGGGCAAGACCACAGCCTTGGAATCATGCTCTGCTCCTAAATTTCAAGGGCAGGTAAATATCTTCAATCAAAACTCAGTCTCTTCTGCAACCCTTGAGTACAACTCCTTTGTTAGTCAATATTGCTCTTGCAGAAAGGAAAAAAAAAACCCCAGCAACAAAAAATCAACAAGCCATGTTAATTTCTGAAAAGCAGACTGCTGCTCTGAAAAATCTATTTTTCTTCTTCCTCCAAAGCCCCTATCACTCCCTCTTTACATATGACTGAAAGACAATAGTCGTTTGAAATATGAAAGGTCTCCTAGAAGAAAGGTGACTACATAAGGCTAAATGCAATAGGACTAAAAGCTTTTCTTCCTTTGTGATTGCTGTGTACAAAAAGAACCAAGGATCTGTTAAAAACGCAAGCTGACAAAGAGAAAGAGAAAGAGATGACAGCTGATCATCTCTTCCCCATAAAAGGCCAAAAAGAAATCGAGACATTAGAAGCAAAATCCTCACATTTAAAACAGAAAACATTGCTAAATCCTCTTCACATCATGTATTAGCTACCCTTTAGATGGTGGTCAGCAAAGTCAAAATCTCTTCTTGTTCACAGCTTCAATATTATTACTCTCCTTCAGAATCACTCCGTCTTTTTAACAGCCTGGGGTCAGGCTCCAATTTGCCAAACTGCACATTGTTAACCCTATGATGTCCTTACCTCTTTCTGCCTTCTCAGCACAGTATTGCAGAGAATATGTAACATATTACAGTCTACACTGACTTGAATAATAAATAAATCAATAACTCAATAAATGAAATATGGAATATTTACAAAGAACTGACACTCATAAAACTGAATATACAACATATGATTTTATCATATCCATATCATATCATATCCAGTATTCCTCCATTTTGCTGTGCAACAGTATATAACTAGCCTCTTCAGTTTCATGAGGGATGAAAAACAAGAATCTCCCTTGTCAGCATGGCCCACAAAAAAAGGCTATCAGAATTGCAATTTTTATGCTCACATTTATATGAAGACTCTACTGACAGTGGAAGTCAAAGGTGTTCTATGCTCTGCAACAGCTCCACAGTAGGAAAAACTACTGCTGCTGAAGTATTCCTTATCAAGGACACCACAACTTCCCTGTCACCCTGTTCAACTCAGGTTAAACAAAACATTTTGGTTCTGGAACTTCTTCTGTCTAAAAGTCCAAATTAAACACAATTCTAATGAAAATGAATGACAAAAAGCTGAACTCAGTTTTTTTGCTGTTGCTGGCTTCAATAGTCTGTTCATTTATCCATTATTTGGTCACGGAGCCTGCAAATTGGCAATGTCAAAGCTTTTGCTGACTGCTAATTCTCTTAGGTGATGTATATTGCACAAGTAACAAAGCTACAGTAAAATGCCAGCATTATATACAGCACGACATTTTCCACTCTCCCTGAAATGATTTATCATAGTCACGTTCACACTCATTCAGCCTCTTGTGCCATAATTTATTGGGAAACTGTTCCATAATTACTGGTATGACTTTGACAAGAATTATATGATGAGAAGATTTCAGCCATTAACCATCTAGAAATATGAAGTGTTTTCTCTCACATATGACAATGAAAGCTACATTGACACTTCATCCAGTCACATCAGTTTTCATATTCATATATATTGCCAATTCAGGAAGGGTGATTTTCTCTTAGCCGCCATGAAGAGTCCAAGGAGGCAGCAAGACAGAATTTTCAAGCCTTTTCAAAGTAAAACCCAACGACCCTTGAACCAAAATCCCCTGCCTCCTAGCTACCATTGTGTTTGGGGAAAAGCCTATTACAAAAATCCAAACATATACAAATAATACCACAAGCAAGGAAAGAAATTAGAAATACAATTGTTATAGTAGACGGTAGGATGAAGCTAGTTGATTTACTGCATCTACATGCACAGAGGAAACATTCACGTGTTTCTCTACCACTGCACTTCACGCTGCATTGCACACTGTAGCTCAATTTCTTTCTGCAGAAGAAACTGTCCATCCATTCATTCTCCTGGATATTTCTCTGCCATTAACACCGAAAGCACTAAGGCAAAAAAACGAATACCTAGGAGTAGCCTTTCCGGTCCATATTAACATGCCTAGATATACCTATTAAGCATCATCACACTTTATTGGATCTTCTGGATGCATCACACCATCAACCTCTTCAGCATTATTTTAAAATCATGCTTCATGTTTCTGTGATCAAATACGGACTTAAAGTTAAGCAGCTATTTCATTACGATGACAGGTATTACCTGCTCTAACCCCATTGCTATGGTAACAGATATGGTAGCCACTAAATTTATGGTAAAATGTATTCCCAAGAGGGAATTTTTTTTCATTCTCACTTGCATGATTGTATCAAACTACCTAATTATAAATAGAACTCAGAGGATATGCTCTTAGCTGAGACCAGCAGTTCCTATGAGTCTTGCATTCACTTTCTTTGGGTTTAAATGTAGGAGATAAAATATACTTATGCTTTAAACAAAGATGACAAAATTCTTGTTCCGGATGGAGCTAATGAAAAATCAAGAGATCATATGCTAACCAGGACTTAATTAATTGAGTACAGCTATCCCAAATCCTGTACAGTATGAAAGGGATAATATTAAGCACCTGTGAGAAAAATCAGGTATTGATTTACCCAAGCAATGGAAACTATTTGAAAAATTCCAGACACATTACCTGCTTGTTATTGAACACACATCAGAATTCTCCTGATTTAACATTTAAAACATACCTTCTGGTGAGGCTATTTGCATTTGAAGTTGTAAATGTTACAGTTTTCATTCAAAGTCTCAGTTTTCAAAATTTTTATAAGACAGGTAAGGGAAAAGACTTAAACAGCAGCAGCTGAGAAAATAGTGCCAAGCTGGCATACAAGTAGCTAAGCCACAGACATTCAAGCAAATGCATATCACAGCAAGTGATTATATAAGTTCTTTTCCTGCCTCTTTTGCATGGATCAAAGTTTTAAATATGTTTCTGTTCCAACCAAATTTTCAGTATCAACCTTTGCATTTGTAAATATACATGTAATAACCTATCTGAAATCTAGTGGGTAACTCTGATACTTTGTGAAGTGTTCCCACTGACGATGTGGCCAGACTGTACACCAGCCCTCAAAAAAGCCCACAGGAATGCTCAAATTGTCTTCATCTCGAAGGGATCCTGGAGAAAAGACTTATTATATCCACAAAGACAAGGAGCTCCTGAAAACTGAAGTCTCACATAACTGGACTAATACTTTATGAAGTTGTACAACCAGTGCCAAAGAAGCCACTTCTCAAAAGACTTCAGAGTATGTATCCCACTTGTCCAGGTGATTATAGACTTCTTGCTCCAGTACTGCATAAAATGCCCATGTTGCTTCTGAATCTTTTTCAAGCCACTTGAGAAAATGGAAAAACTAACTCAAAAAATCAACAGTTCTTGGCTGTAGTGATATCATTCAGTGCTGTAAGCAGGCAAATCTAGAGCTAGCAAGAACTAATGGTCATATTACAGGAATAAGTGAATTATCCCACCAGATGGTACAAACATTTAGATCTTTTCCTTACCTGCCTCCTGTCTCTCTGAGATGATGACGATGAGGAGGCACTTCTATGTGATGGAGTGGATGTTTTGTGAGCTGGAGATATACTCTTCTCCTCTGAACTCATCTTTGCCGCAAACTTGTATTAATGATCTTGTGCTCTTATCACTCATCTACCAAAAGGCAAGGGATAGTCTTCTGCATCCTTCTGTTTTACAATCTATGAACAGCCAAACAGGAATTTGGTCTCAGCTGAACTGAACCTTAATAAAGAAAAATGTGAGAGAAAGAGTGAATAAATACACCTTCAAACCAAAGTAGTTCTGCAGCAAAGAAATCTGTTGACTACTTAATCCAACACATCTCCCAGTCTTTTAGTCCCCTTCCCAACAACTACCCAGACCAAACACAAATGCTTTGTTCTGCCTTCTCACAGAAGATGAAAACGGTATTATTTCAAAAAACCCTAATGAAATGCTTAAACAATTTAAAACAATTCTCAGGCAAAGTTTACAAATCCTTGACAAGGGGTCATTATCCCATCCTGCATAATATCATAACATTATTGAGTACCTCCTCAAGACTTCCTATACAGCACAAATGCCACTGAACACCCAGTTAAAATCAGTACCTCTTAAAAAATCCTGCCATTAGATTAATTGCACTCTACAAGTTGGTTCATAAAAGCAGGTCCCTCTCTTAAAGATGGTGTCCACAGCCTGCAGCATCAAAGGCTTTACTGAGGCAGGAGGAAATGAGTGGTTGGGTGTGCACCTTTAATTTCCACTCAGGATCAGAAAAATAGAGCGGCACAGAGGGAATTTGTGCCAATAGTCAAACACTACCTGTCAAACCCTATTAAAATGTTGCAAGTACGTCATGACAGTTCAGGAATGCAGTTACACTTCTCTGTGTTCAGTGTGATCTTGCTTCAGCACAGAGATACTGTGTCTGACCTTCCACTAACCATGGATAAAATTGTTCCCTGAATGAGATCCTAGCTTCAGGCAGACAACGTATCTTCTCCACTGCCCACATTCTAATTTTGAAATAGTGCCCTTCCACACACACAGTGAGGACAGCACACCGAAGGTCAGCACAGCACAGCTACCTGTAAGATAGGTGTGGAGAAAGGTGCTGTCCCATACCACCTTAAATGAGATGACATTCTCAGACATGAATAAAGGCTCAAGAAAGCATGACACATTGAAGACAAAGCTCTAGCTTCTCCAATCACAACAGATATCCATGCAAGATTATCCTGAATCCAGATACTCAGACAGAGCCAGCTAAATAATTAATTACATTGTGCCTTATGACCACCAGCTTCCAAATACTGCATCCTAAGAAACATCCTTCTGCTGAAGCTGAGGTCTGTGATGACTCATTACTAGAAGACACCTCTTCTACAGGAAAGTGGAATGACTTCACTTTTTTAGCTATCGGTACTTTTCCAAGTATGAATCTCATCCATATCTTATGAATGAGCTTTCCTGGCCATCAAGGAGTCTCCCATAGAATTACAGATCCACATGATATCCACCAATTCTACACAGCATCCCAATGACATGACTGGGAGGACATGGCTGTTCTGACAGCAAAAGCTGCCCACATACCCTGAACATCTTGGCAAATTCTCTATTCTTTTCAGGATGACAAGTTCCTGCTAGGAGAAGTCTAAGAAGATGGGTTGTGATGGAGCTGCTAGAGCCAGCTACAAGAAGACAGATATTTCAGGAAGAAAGAAACAAGTCACACAGCACATTTGTTTCACAACTTCAGAGAGAAAACATAATGAAGCTGCACCCAAAGAAAGCCTTTTCCTTCTATCCTAGCACACTAGAGACTGCTGGTCTAGTTTAACAGCATTTTCACATCCTACAAATGCATCAGGCAAATTTTAGTCAAAGGGGTATAACAACAGGGATATCTCAAGGTCTACAAAATTTCCATATAAATCAAAGATCAAATTACAAAAACTAGAACAAAAATATTACATTCCTAATTCACACAGCTGTGCAGGACATTTTAGTTATTTTACAGCAAATCTGCAGTCACTTTCAGCTGTGAGGTCACTGAAATGTTTTTAGCAGAGTAGCCTTTGGGCAAATGAAAATCAAACCCTTTCTAAAACATCTGATCTTCATTCATTTGATTCACATGGAAAAATTTATATTTAGTAATGGCACAGAAGGACAGTGATCTGGCACTTCAAGTGTGTTCAGAAGGCTCTGGGGAAGTAGAGATGCTGTTGTAAGAAGCAATCACAATGCTAGCAAGCAGTACACAAGGAAAACAGTTATGTAAATAGCTGCCAGGTTGAGATTCTTTAAGTATGGACTTTTCCTTTTGAAAGGTATTAATAAAAAAAAAAAAAACAAAGGAAAGAAGCAGCTAGTGGCTTACACCTGAGCCAAACTACACAGTAGTTCTGTGGTGCTCCCCAAGCATTAAGAGCTGAACCTAACCAACAACTTGCTCAAACCACACTGATTTATTGACTGTAGTCTACAAAAAGAAACTGAATCAAAACTAAATCATCTCTCTTCGCACTACAAGAAGCAAACATTTCTTCGTGCCCTATTTCACAGCAACAATAACTTCAGTACTAAATTGCTGTTACTCATATAAAGAAATTTCTGATAAAGAAACAGTTCATTTCAGGGTTAAAAGTCAAAACAAGACAAATGCAATATTTGAGAAAACAAGCCATGTAAGCACAACAACAAAAAATATATAATGCAAATTAGCAAGAGCTAGCATTGAGCTCTTTGTTATTGTTCCTGCACACTGAATATGGATTCTGTTTTTCTATATTGCTAAGAGTCTATCTTCCAATTTTGGCTTAAAATTTCAGCAATACATCTTTTTTTAGAGCATGTTAGAAGGAATAAATTTAGTGAAACTGACGTAAAGAGACACCAGTCATTCTGTGACTATGACTGAAGCAAACAATTAGAAATGTAATTTTTTTCACCAACAAATTCAATTTACCAAAATTAAACCAATGCTTTTGAAACATTTTTAATGTTGTGGGGTTTTTTTCCATCAGCTACTGCCAATTTTGCTATTGACTTCAGTGGGAAAGGAAGCAAGACATATAGCATGGTAGAATATTTCTACAAAGTAACAGACAATTGAAAAACACATTCAAAAACTATGATGTTGAATTTCGGGTGAGTGGGGATGTTCCCCTAGAAATTGTGCATTAATTCTGTTTACTGACAAAGATCAAAACATCTGACTTATTGTACAAGGCCAATGTTACCATCCCTTTACTTCACAGCAAATGTGTCTTCAACCTGGAAGTAATTCAACTGATTGCATCAGACAAGTCAAAAACAATAGCATAAACCAGGGTAACAGTACTGGCCATTGGTTATTAATTGTTCCATATCCAAGTATCATTGACCTGTAGGCTGCATTTTGTACACACCAACTAAATCCCTCATGAATTGCTCAAAACTACCTGTCAGTTTAGGACTGTAAGTTCATTCAGCCCATCAAATCTGACCAGGCATTGGCTTGCATAAAAGTTGCTTTGCCCTGAGTTCCCAAATATATTCATTCTTCCAGCATACAAGAGACAGACTTCCTAGAACACAAAAGCCAGATGCTGCAAAGAGATTTCTGTAATCACAAGTATGAATTGCCCAGCCGGGAGTTTTGTCTTCAACTATTTTTACTGTCATCTCAAATATTTTGGACTTTAAACATCATTTGCAATTTATTAACTACTTACTGGTACTTAAGTACACTCTCTTCTAAGTTACTTCTTTTTTTATATGTTAGGTTATGTATATAGAAAGGTAAAATGATCTGCCCAAAGTCATGGAGAGAGCAAATCTTGTAAGCAGAATATGCAGTGATGTCTTTTAACTCTGATGCATAAAGAAAAAATAACGTGCCATCCTCCAGATAAGAACATCTATATCTATTCATAAAGAAATACAAAATTACCATACATAAACTGCTATAAGAAATTATTTAAGAAATATACTATAGGTTCTTTATTGTACTGTTAAGAAATTCTTTATTCTTTCTTAAATATCTGGTATTGAATACTTCTTCTGTAAATGAGAACCATTCAACCACCTTCTTCCAGTTTGTCCCTACTATATTTGGGTTTTAAGTTAGCCTTTGAATTCAAGATGGGTTTTTCTCAATAGGGTTTTTGTGCTTGATCTCAATTGTTACAGTCTGTCTGAGCCTGGGTGGGAAAAGCTAGACATTCCTCATTCCACATTCTTTCTCTACTTCAATCTAAGATTTGAACATTTTTTTCACTATGCAGTTATATTTTCCTTGTTTACTTTCAGATCATTGATGTTGTGGTTTGTTTGTTGGGGTTTTTTCCCCTGGTGTCTTAAATCAAGTATTAAATATATCTTAAAAAAATTCATTCTTAATTTCCCTTCCATTCACAAAGGGTTTCTGTCTAAATAAATAAATAAACCTTTATTTTTCATATCAAAACCCACTGATTTTTACTCTAGAGATACTATAGTTACCCAGAAGTCCTGCTATCATATGAAACAAAATTATTTCAGATGTATCAAAATAAATGATCAATGCATTACCAATATGTAGTGTGGTTACTTTTTATATCGATGTTACACTAAATACCTTGAAATTCAAGGAAGCATTGAGAGCTACTTACTGATTTCTCAGAATCTTTTATCTCGGGTTACAACAATAAGTTTGATTCAACATCTCTTAAAAGTATTTCCTGGAATTCTGTAGAATGGTCTGTTCAGGAGTATCACAATACTGAAGCAGACACTGAATCTCCAAAAAAACTTAATTAGTCTTTTCTTCAATGAACAAACCTCATTGTGTCTTAAGTTGAACAGATTGTCGTTATTTGAAATTTCATTTTAAAATTTAATATTTTTATGCTATTTGCTAAAGATTTAAAAAAAGGGGTGGGAGGAATGCAATGGAGAAAGGCTATTTTCATAGGAGGGAAAGTTAAGTTGTTTAAAAGGTCTGAGTGAGAAGACACACAAGTAATGAAATGAGACAATACACCAGGGAGAAAACTGGACAAAGACTTGGGAAACACAAGCTGTATAAACTGCACAAATTCAATGGGTGACACAAAGGAGAGAAGCAGCCTGTGGAAAT